AGAAAAACCAACGTTTGTTTATACAGCCTTCTCAGCCCTAAATTCCCTGTCTCTGATAAGGTTGCCTTCTGCCCTCGTGGTTCAAGGAGGGTACTGTTCACATGGAAAACTCATCTCCTGCCTTAGGGGGACAAAGAGGACCAGAGTGTCTTTCTTGCAATGGCTGTTTCTCCAGTACCTTTAACTCAAAATAATCAATATGCTAATGTGCCATATTTTGATGTGCCATATTCTAAATCCCTACACAGGATACCTATTTGGACATGGAGTTTTGTATCTTCCCAACCCATCTGCATGCATTTTATTTCCTTTTCTTGCCTTTTCTGGATAAAATCTCTAGTACATTCTAGAATGGAAGTGGCAAGAGCAGACACTTCTCTTTGGTTCCTTGTATTTAGGAGAAAGTTTTCATCTTTCACCATTAAATATAACATTAGCTGTGGGTTTTCCACACATGCTCATTATGAAGTAAGAAAATTTCCTCCTGTTCTTCGTATGCTGAGTGTTTTAATCATGAAAGGGTACTGGTTTTGTCAATTATTTTCATTGAGTCTATTGAAATGATCTTGCCATTTTTTATTTCTTTTTTAAAGATTTTATTTTTTTCCTTTTTCTCCCCAAAGCCCCTCAGTACATAGTTGTATATTCTTAGTCGTGGGTCCTTCTAGTTGTGGCATGTGGAACGCCACCTCAGCGTGGCTGGAGGAGTGGTGCCATGTCCGTGCCCAGGACTCAAACCGACGAAACACCTGGCCGCCTGCAGTGGAGCGCGAGAACTTAACCACTCGGCCATGGGGCCGGCCCCACCATTTTTGATTTTTACTCTATTAATATCTTTCATTACATTAATGGATTTTGAAATTTTAACCCAATCTTTCATCCTCAGAAGAAACCCACTTGGTCATGGCATATAATTCTTTTTATATGTTGCTGGATTGGGCTTGCTAGTATTTGTGGTGATCTTTTACATTCATATTCACAAAATAAATAAGGGTGTGGTTTTTTAGCAATACACTTGTTTTGGTATCACAGTAGTACTGGCTTCACAAAATGAGTGTGACGTGTTTTCTCCATTCTATTATTTAGAAGAGCAAGTGAAGAATCTGTAATACACCTTCTTTGAGTATTTTGGAAAATTCCGAGTTGAAGCCAACTGGGCCTAGACTTAGAGCGTTTTTCATTTACTGATTTTACTAGAGCCCTTTATTTCCCTATTAAATTCAGTCAATTTCTAAGTGTTGTATCAATAAGTAAGCAAGCAGATCTGATAAATATGGGATGTTTGTGGTCACTGTGGCTAACAGAATGTGCCCATGACACGGATCTACACTGCTTCTGCCACCCTCTCAGCTTGCAGCACCCCCATGCTGCCTCAGGGAAATTTTCAAGAGTGGGACACGCATAGATTTCTAAACGTTTCCAAGTAAGCAGGAACAGAGTAGTCGCGAGTTGGGCAATGAACAGCTGGAAATGGTCTATGGATGGCAATGAGAAGAACTGATGGGGATGCACATGAATGAGGATGTCCCCAGGCAGATCCCAATGGGGACACACTTTTATGTTTTAGAACCACAGTATTTCCAAAGATCTGTCCATGAACCTGATTTAAAATCAAGGACAGACTCTGGGAGCCCTCTCACTTCACTCCTAGTTATGAGTATGAGCTGACGGCAGGTGCAACCCTAGGGGTTTTCTCAATTAAGGCAGGGCTGCAACAAAGGCCTGTTGGGGACTGAATCTTCTTGCTCAGTCCTTCACGCTGCCTAAGAAAAACCTCAAAATGGTGGAAAGAAGAGCTGAACACGTAAAAATCAAGGTTCAAGAGAGCTTAACATTTTTCTAGCATATGAGTTATTTTCCTATTAACTGTATATACAACACATATATAAACATATATAAAATATTTTAAGTGCACTCATAAGTTTTCTCAAATGTATAGAAATACTGCCATCAAAAGATGGAAACCATACCATCACTCGAAAAGACCACTCCTGTGGTGCCCATTTGAACAAAACCCCTCCAATACATAAATTAACACTCAAGAAAAATGGAAAACATTCCATTTCCTTTGCTGTTTTAAACCTTGCAGCTGTTACTGCTGTTTCCCACTTTTCCACAGCATGTGCTGGACACCTGAGCACAGGGAAAGGAAACTTGTGATCAGCTCAGTGGGTTCCAGGGCTTTGTGGATCACTGACACGAGAGACTTCCAGCCACTCCTGATGAAAGATGTGGAAAATTTTCCTTTTCTCCTTTTATACTCAATTAGGATATTACTCAAAATACTATCCCTGCAGCTCACCTCAATTATTCCTGAGAGGATCACCTCTAAACAACGACGACATCCTCACTCTCTCCTGCCCTCATAGATGTGTGCACCTTCAAGGAGGACATTACTAGCTCTCTACTAGCTCAATGCTCTTTTCACTTTCCTTCAAAGCCCTTGTCTCCATCTCATAAACAAAGCTTTACTAGTTGTAATCATCTCTCATTTCCCACAAATACATAAGCACCAGGACTGCAAGAACTTGTTTGTTTCAAGCACTATATCCAAATCCTACCATGCCTTATTTCTGCTACATTGGGTACACTGACTCTCAAGTGCATGGCAGGTGAGGGATGCTGAAACACTAGCATCAAGAGCATAGTGTCTGAGAAAGAAAGGCTTGACTGGCACAGTGGTCCTCTCTCTCCCTTGCTAGGTTTGTGTGGTCTCACAATTTACCTAAACTCAAAGCCCTCCATTGAGTCATAAAGGAGATATTGAAAATATTATGTAGGATGCTAAGAAGTGAATTGATGTATTTCAGTGAGGTACTTCATAGTAAACAGCGTCTAATTCACCATAGGAAATACATCAGTGTTTTGACTGTAAGTAGGAAAAGCAAACCTAGCAAAGCTGTTCCAGAGGAACGGGAGCTGGCTGCATCCACTGCAAGGCCAAGTCTTACCCTGCTGAAAAGTGTCCGACAGCTGGTTCATTAAAAGTACACAGTTTCCAAAACAAAACAGTATTTTGTCACCATAGAGGTAAAAATGATAAGGGATAAAAGTCAAACTCATAAAAATGATTGTTTTCCTTCTTCTTACTAAAATGACTGACTGGAACTTCTTAAAAATTAACTTCAGCTTCACGACACTGGTTTTGCCTTCTAGAAAACAATGATTATATTTTATCAAGGACAAAATGCTTACAAAGTTAGAATTAAGTTTACCTCCTCACAGCTGTCAGACAGAAAAGGACCTTCCTCCTTGAATAGGAATCAAATCAACAACCACTTGTCGAAACTCTTTTAGAAGTCCTTTTGAGCACCCTGTTACTGTCATACCTCAGTCCTTTATGCTTTGTGATCATTTTTATTAGAATTTGTTACATCCCTCTCTTTGACTACAGGTGCAACCATGCAGGTCACTGGCAAGAGGGCACTGAAAAAACCATGATTTTTAAGTTAGGGGTTCAGAATAAATTACAAATTAGTTTCATGACAAAAATATTAACTATAAAAGACTAAAAATTAAAGTTTGCCTGAGGAAAACATACCTGAATTTGTATGTACATTTGAAAATTACCTCATAATGTATAATGATTAAATGAATAAAATTGCAAAGTATATCTGAAAACCAATAATTAAAATGAATTTTAATATAATCTGAGAAAATAAAACCACAATGTTTATTAGTACAGAATGGTTTAGAAAACAGTTGACAAAATACATCAGTGAAACTACAGAAAGGTTCATTTCACACGGAAATGTACATAGTTTTAATGACATACAAACACTATTGAAAACATATTGAGGGAATATGGTCAGCTACAAGTAACAGGAAACACACACAGTCTTCCTGACGTGAGAAAGGTGATTGTTCTCACATGGAAGAACTGGGTCAAGGCAGCCGCTGCACAAGGCAGCAGAGAAACAAACTCCCAAGTACTTCTTTTGACTGCCCCATTGTAGATGTCATGGTAAATCAGGAAAAAATACTCATTAGCAGTATTAACAGCATAAGGTATTTCGTATACAAATTAGACCTTCTACAGACATCATCTAGAGAAGAGGGGAATCACAGAATACTCAAAATCACAAACTCTCAGTAAGCTTCCTGGTGGGCACAAGAGGCCTTGTAGAAAAAGCCTAACTTTAATTGCATCTTTGATGAGAAATTTGTGAAAACACCAGTGGAAAATACACCCCTAAGAAAATGGAAATCAGTCAGTGGTGGTTTTCAAGATACTCTTCCACAGAAAAGCAAAGAATCCAGAAAATGGGATTGAGGAAGATGTCCTCAAAGCTCCAATGGAACTGTCTCTCTCCCTGTGTGGTGGCTCCAGTATCTGACTAAGGCCTTGTTTGCTTCTGCCTTTGAAATCTCACGCAAGTGACATGGTTGGTGAATTCCAACATGAAAGTACAAAGGGCATGGATTCTTAAATATCTAGGTCTTAATATTAACCACTGACATGAGACAATAAAGGGGTGATATGTCCAGCTCTAGAATTTGTTGCCTTATCACAGGGCTCTACTTAATTCAAAGTCTATTCACCAAATACCAGTCACAAGGAAGAGCAAAGGCCCAAATGTGAAAAAAAAAATTCACAGCAAAGTATACTCTTTGACAAACTTGCCATAAATAAATTCTATTCCAAGTGTTCAATAGTGTGTAAAATAAAAATAGGCTCCTATACCCACCACCACATCAAAGGAGCTTTCTCTAAGAAAGTAGCCAAATGTATAAGGGACTGGGCATATCCAGGAACTGCAATACAAGGCCAGTAAGAAAATCTCAAAAAGTACAAACTGTCATTTTTCAATGGCCACTTCACACAGAACAATTGAGACATTATAAAAAAAATCACAGGGGCCGGCCCAGTGGTGCAGGGGTTAAGGGTGCATGTTCCGCTTCTGGCAGCCCTGGGTTCGCTGGTTCGGATCCCGGGTGCAGACATGGCACTACTTGGCACGTCATGCTGTGGTAGGCATCCCATGTATAAAGTAGAGGAAGATGGGCACGGATGTTAGCTCAGGGCCTCCTCAGCAAAAAGAGGAGGATTGGCAGCAGTTAGCTCAGGGCTAATCTTCCTCAAAAAAAAAAAAAAAAAATTACAGAGAAAATATTATTAACTGACTTTAGGAAAAAGCACTACCTATTAATCTTACGTAGTATTGATGAAGGGTCACTTGCAGAACTCTCACCTCAGTATTCATTTCTGAAAGTAATTAACAAAAACCCACAATCCAATGTTGCACTTTAAGAGGCTTGGTAAACACAACATATTTATAACAACTCTTTCATGTTGAAAGTTTTCTAGAACATTATACACAAATTAATTTCCATCAAGCTTTCTCATATGAGTTACATTTATATTTCTTTTTGGTGGGAGTTTCACAGAGAAGAATATGGGCCAACTGAAGTCTTTCCAACCCTGTGTACATTCAAGAGGTTTTTATCACGTGAGTCCTTTCATGCCTTCAGAAAGAACTGGGATGACAAGTCTCTCCTACATTCCTTACATTTACATGCTTTTTCCTCTAGTGTGCATTCGTGCATATCCTCAAAAGTTTGCATGAGAAATAAAGGCTTTCCCACTTTCCTGACATTCACAGGCTTTCTTTCCAGTGTGACTTCTTCCATGTTTTCAAAGAGAACTGGAAGAGGCGAATGCTGTACCGGATTTTTTAAATTCATAAGATTTCTCCCCAGTGTGATTTCTTTCATGTCTTCGAAAAGAAGTGGAAGAAGTGAATGCTTTACTACATTTCTTACATTCATAGGGTTTCTCTCCAGTGTGAATTCTTTCATGTATTTGAAGATAACTGGAAGTAGTGAATGCTTTACTGCATTTTTTACATTTGTAGAGGTTCTCTCCAGTATGAGTGCTTTCATGTTTTTGAAGATAACTGAAACAAGTGAATGTTTTACTGCATTTTTTACACTTACAGAGTTTCTCTCCAGTATGAGTTCTTTCATGTAGCCGAAGAGAAGTGGAATAAGTGAATGCTGCACCGCATTTTTTACATTCATAAGGTTTCTCCCCAGTGTGATGTCTTCATGTCTTTGAAGAGAAGTGGAAGAAGTGAATGCTTCACTACATTTTTTATATTCATAGGGTTTCTGTCCAGTATGAGCTCTTTCATGTACTTGAAGAGACCTAGAAGAAGAGAATGCTTTACTACATTTCTTACACTCATAGGTTTTCTCTCCAGTATGAATTCTTTCATGAATTCGAAGGTAAGCGGAAATACTGAATGCTTTACTGCATTTTTTACATTCATAGGGTTTCTCTCCAGTGTGATGTCTTTCATGTTTTTGAAGATAACTGGAACAAGCGAATGCTTTACTGCATTTTTTACATTCATAGGATTTCTCTCCAGTATGAGTACTTTCATGATCTTGAAGAGATCTGGAAGAAGTGAATGCTTTACTGCATTTCTTACATTCATAGGGCTTCTCTCCAGTCTGAGCTATTTCATGCCTTCGAAGAGAACTGAGAAATGTGAAGGCTTTACCACATTCCTTACATTTACATCGCTTCTCTCCACATTTTTTATAGTCATGTTGTTTGTGTTCAGTGTGACATCTAACGTGCATTTTAAGGGATGAATGATGCATGAAGACTCTTCCACGTGCACTGCATTCCCATGGTTTAGCTCCTGTGGTTTTCTTGTTTAGATTGAGATTTGGAATAAAGTTGATGTTTTCTCCACACTGACTACCCTCTTCACTTCCACAGAGTCTCTCTACCATATGATTTCTGTAAGAAATAAGAAGCACATTATTAATTCTTATATTTAATTCATAACTTAGATTTTACATGTTATATTTATTACGATTCATAGGAAAAGTTTAGGTTTTCTGTCTTGTCTCTATTCTCAGAAATTGAATAATGAATGCTCTACAAGAGGCTTTCATATTACCAAAGCAGTGATGTGCCTTTATAGAGTTTATTGTTTCCAAGTGAAATATTTTGCAATAACTGATCCTCTACATCACATTTCAGAACACGTATTTGATGAAAATTTTCTAAGAACAGCTAAATTTGAAGCAAGGGTTATTTGTCTCCTTTGCATCTTTTTAAAATTTCATAACATACCAGAATTCTCACATTGCACAGTGCTTTCTATTGTGCTTTCCATTGTGTGACTCACCGCTGTTTTCTCTCCTGGTCTTTGTACTGATCTTCAATATCATGATCTTCCCATATTTTTCCTAAAATGAAGACCCAGAAAGATGATTCCAAAGTATTAGAAATTATAGAAGAAATTTTAGACTTAAGTCCACAATGAGCTATGACCACATCTAGCTTATTTACCAATATCCCCCACTTCCACATTCTACATCTTGGACCAGATGGGCCAGAAACACTTGTTCTCTCATTGGTGAAGTGCTGGAATGTCCTCATTCTTACCTACTGAGGCCAGGATCCTAAAGGTTTCCCACATCACATCTCTGTAGAGTTTCTTCTGTGAAGGATCCAGTAAAGCCCACTCCTCCAGAATGAAGTCACAGCCACGTCCTCAATGGCCACTGAGTCCTAAAACACCACAAATATGTGTAGGGCAGGATGCATAAGGCTGATAGCACTGGGGATCTATACTCCATAAGCACGAAGGTTGTGTATGATTCTGTCGTCTCCAGACATTTATTCTATGCTGCCATCATCAAAAACTCATTCATTTTCTGTACACATTTCTTCATGAATTTAACAGAATTCCAAACACATGGAAATTATTTACACATTTTTACTGTGATCACATTACATCATATTTCTCTGTAGTGGCAGGATACAGAGGATACAAGGAAAGACAAAAATGAAACAAATATTATAATTTTGAGGCCGATTCCTTGTGAGAAAAACTCTTTCATCTCCTTCCTTATTACCCACCAGTTACAGCACTCCATGAGGTAGAGGGACAAACCTGCATGAGGTTTCAATGGATAAAAACATAGTGAAGAACTGGAAGCTTTTTTATCTACTCTCATCACCAAAAAGAGTGTCCAGGAGGCCTGTAGATATCAAACTTTTAATGAAACCCAGTTGCCCACATTGTCCTAAATTACTCCAGGCCATCATTACAAGTAAGCAGGTGCAGCTGGTTGAATGTAAATATTCTTGTGAGGAAGCATTGCTTTCAACTTGTGTAATATTTCTCATAGACTCACTCAGTTCTTCCTTCCTTTCTCTATATAGTTTGATGGGGCCAGAAAGTTATTTGGAACTTAGAGCTCAGACACAAGGAAGAAGACATGACAAATTATACCATAAAATTCCTATACTCATGTGCCTCAAGGCCACTTCCTGCCAATTTTTAGAACCAACAAAGAGATGAGAATGTGCAGAACAGCTCTTTCTAGAGAAACACTAACAGTGCACCTTGAGCCTTGCTGGCTTGAGGGGCAGGTTAAGAGCTACGGATTGCTTAATGAGTTCACTGAAGTTCACAATGGTTTGATAGTCAATTTGCCAGTGATTATCAAACATGTGAATGATTTCCTACAAAGAACATAAAATCTCCACTCTTCAACTTCATCAGGAAGTGTCTGCCACTCTCGATGATGCCCTGCCAACTTCTGATCCCACACTTAAGAAGCTTAGAAGCTGTCATTCTTGACCTCACAAGAAAATGAACAAACTTGAACTGAACAACTCTTCTTAGACCCAGGAGAGCCTTGAGGTCGTAGGGCAAACCAGTGTCCCCCCAAATTAGGAAAAAGATACAACAGATGGCATTTTGAAGTGCAACCAGATATTCTGTTCTTAACACAGCCTGTAGTAACAAAAAGTCTACTTCACCAGAGTCCAATGCAAAGCCAAAAAGAACAAAACAGACAAACACAATACCCGTGAAGCCTAGGACAACCCTCTTTCAGAAAAGGTTTACACAATGGGACTACCTGAAAGAAAAGAGAGAAACAGAAGAAACAAGGGAAGTAATAATCACCAAAATATCCTAAAATTAATGATAGCAAACAGCACATCCAGAAATCTCAGAGAACACTAACCATGATAAACTGCAATAGTGCACATCCCAGAACATCATATTCAAACTGGAGAAAAATCAGACAGAGAATGTATTGAGAAATGACAGAGAAGAAACACATCTTAGGTATAAAGAAACAAAGATTTGAATTAAACTGGACTTTTCAAAAACCATGCAGGCAGGAAGAGAATAGAGTGAAATATGTAAAGTTTTGAAAACAAAAAAAAGTCCCCTAGAATTCTCTGTCAAGAAAAATTCTTCAAGAATAAAGGAGAAATAAGGATTTTCTGAGATTTAAATTGAAGAAATTTTTCATGAGTACACCTACTTTGAATGTTTGAAAATTTATCAATAAGAACATAAATGATAAAGGCAGAGGTTTAGAAAAAGAAAAAAATCAAGGTAAAATATCGCTTATATTTCTTATAAATAATATAACAAATGTAGGATTCTTGGTTGATGGGTATTTTCTTTGTGCACTTTGACTATGTTATCTGTTGCCTTCTGACCTCCCTTTTCTCTGCTGAGACAACATTTGTTCATTTTACTGGGGTTTCCTGTAAGAGTTGGCTAATTTTTCAATTGCTGTTTTTCCCCCAGTGTATAGTTACTACATTCCTGTATCTTTGCATGTCTCATATTTTTGATGCAAACCACTCATTTTAGGTAATATGTTTTAGCAACTCTGGCTTCTGGTCTCCTTCCTACTTGCACTTTTTATTGTTATTAGCTTTGTTCAGTAACTGGGTGGATTATTCTAGTTAAGTCTGTATCCTCCACACAGAGAGAAACCTCTAATGCATCTCCTAGAATCCAGCATGGCTTTTGGGTGCATCTACCATCAGGAGACAGTGGGACTGGTAGGGCTCTCTTCCTCCATCACCGACACAGCCCATGGTTAAACTAGATTAACTGCTGGCTGATTGCTCTACTGTTTTCACCAATGTGAAATTCTGGCTCCTTTGTAGAAATATTTTCTCAGGTCACTGTTTGATATTTGTTCTGACCCTTGGTAGTATCCTCTCAGCACTCGAATTATCTGGTTCTTTCCAGAAACTAGTCAGCCTACACTCTAAGCAGTATCTTCACTACATACACAAATCTACTAATTGCCTTTCACCTCATTCTCCACATTTCTGACAGAATCATTTGACTTGAATTTTTCATGATCTTTTGCTGGGGTCAAGTTAACTTCTTTGGGAAGGAATTAAGAGCTTTGTGTTTTATGGCCGGCTCCTCTGCAGTGTTCAGGCAAAATCTCTGTTCCAGGACTCTGGAGCTGTGATGGGGACAACAGCAAGACTCACTCTGAATGACAATCCCAATTTAGGGATTGAAACATCAGTGCAGTGGAGAGACAGCAGCTAGAGATTCTCTTGATTGTCCCATGTTACAGCCACCTCATGAGCTGGGCAAGAGTGATCAGCGCCCAGCATTCTCAGCACAGCATGAGCACAGCAGAGCCTCCGCACCATGAGAAGGGGCTGGGTGCAAGAAGAGGGTCCCCAGTTTTCATGCGAACCAGTGAGGAGATTAAATTCAACAACAGGCAGCTGAGGGCAGGATGGGTAATGTTGAAGTCCTGCTCATTATAGGAAGAAGCCCTTGTTCTGGAAGCTGAGGGGGAGAGAGTCATGTCTTCTGGTTCTGGGTACAGTACTCTAGAGAGGAGAGCTTACTTCCTGAGCTGAAAGTTGGTAAGGAGTGGACATGGTTCAAATTCTGCACACTCTTTCCTTCTCACAAAAAACTTATTTTCTTGAATAGATGTTCCTCATTTGCCATTTGCCGTTAGGACAATTTCCAGAGGCTTTAAATGGTTGTTTTAAAACAATTTTCATCAGTTTCACTGGGGAGCGGGTCAGAGGATCTCCTCATATTAATATATCACACCAGTGCATTTAATACATTGCCCCTTTCAGTAAACTCTCTCCAGCTTGATATACAATGGCACTACAGGCTGTAATATCACTTCTCATTTTGTAGAGACACAGAATTGAGAAAATTAACTTTTTATGGTTTGTTAAAATTTATCGCACACTTAAAAAAATTACTTAGACAACACATAGAGCTCTGGCTTCCTGTTAAAAATATATTAGTCATTTGATTATAAACGATTGTTAAAAAGAAAACCACAAGCCCAAAATGGAGTCACTTTTGTTATTCCCACAACACCAAGCCTGGGGTTAATATCTAACCTAACTGCAGCTTCACTCTTCCCCAAGAACATACATCATTCTGGGATCTTCTGGTCAGGACCAATGAGGTAATGTGCCACATGGGCCTCTCCATCCCCTAAAGGAAGATGAGGTCATCCACCTAATCAGACCTTTTTTCCCACAAAGGGAGATAACCTCATCTGAACGAATCCTTTTTTTCTCTTCATGACTTCCTTGTCCTGCCTTTAAAACCTTTCCCTTTCTGTACCCTTGGAGCTCCTCTCTACTTACTAGATGGGATGCTGCCTGATTCCTGTATTGCTCAATAAAGCCAAATAGATCTTTAAATTTACTCAGCTGAATTTTTATTTAACAGATTTGATGGCAGGATCAGGATCTGAAGCAAACTTCTGACAGCACTTGGGACAATGATCAACACAGGAGTGGTACCCATAACCCCTTTTTAGTTCTGTCTTTCCTGAGCCTTCCAAGGGCTGTGGATAAGTTCTCTTTCGCTCTGAGCTCCACTGTCTTTGCCTAAAGCTCCCAATCTCATCGCATTTCCAGTCAGTTCCCCATTTTTCTGGAATCACTAGTGCCACACTGGGAACTGCTGGTGGTTAAGACCACAAGGCCCCACTTCACTGGAAGCCCCACACTGGACTCTGTCCCTAGATTCCATGTGGCACCCCACTGGCAGTTCAGCCTGCAATCCTCATTTGTTTGGAATCCATGTTGGGAACTGCCGGTGGCAGCCCCAGTTTCCATCTGTTCGGCATCAGTCCACACAGTCCCTGTGTGTTGAGGTCCATTGGTTCACTCCATCTCCTAGTCCCAGGTTCCATGTTGGAAACTGATGGTGTGCACTGGGCATTTTTCTTGGCCATTCGGCAGTAACATATTTTGTTTACTGCTGGTATGTTCAGGTGCATGAGTTTGTTTTTCTTCTTTTATGTAAATAAACATTATGGCTAAAGAGGATCTCAGGGACAGAAAGGCCATAAAAATTAGTAGGCATGGGTAGGGCATTTAAAGGCTGTTAGAGTGCTTGCCACCTAACGCAAAGGCTCCCATGTTAGGGTAAGTTGGTCATGGAATGGGTCAGACTGACACTAGATCACCCACCAACCTCAAGCAAATTTCCATGCAATGATGTGCACTTTGAAACATCACATATTCTCCACCCCAGAGGCACATCTCTTTTCTGATTTTGTCTCCAAGAAGCCTGAAGACTTAGCTAGAAGAAACAGAATCCATCAAATCTAAGAGCTAAGTGTGCCACCTTCAGAGACACCTGCTTATTTTATATCTAAGAACTGTGGTCCTGGAAGCTTGAATATCAACAAAAACGGCCAAATCTTAATAAGATCTTTTGTGTCCTGAGAGCTGGACTT